CTACACAGCCATAGATGGGAATAAATTTGAATCATTTTTAGGTAGATGGGTGCACTTTAAGGACATAATTTTAAGTGAAATAAATTAGACACACATTTAAATATCACATTTTTTTCTTCATTGAGAAACCCAAGGAAACTAGATATGGAGAAGTAGGAAAAAAACCATTCAAATGAAAATTGAAGAAGGGGAGGAGGGAGGGAAAGAAACGGGAATATGGGCTGGGGATTTAGCTCAGTGGTTCCGGCACCTGCCTTGCAAGTGCAAGGTCCTGAGTTCAATCCCTGGTACCAAAAAAAAAAAGAAAGTAACAGGAATAAAAAGAAAGAATGGAAAGAAAAAATGGAAACAAAGTTTTGTAAATTCAGAGAGGAGTTGGTAGGGAGGGGCAGGGAGTGGGAAAAAAGAATTAAGATATGATATGTACAGATACAAAATCCCTAGGATGGATGCGATTTTTTGAATTGCAAATATACCAGAAAAGTTGATTTAAAAAAGAAATAGATGAAAGGCTTGCTTTGTCCTCTAAAAACAATAACAAATTCATAGGTATTTATTCTGTGTCTGTCATGTACCAGGCATTTAGCAATGATGCAGAAATATAAATAAGAGAAATTTTCTGCTTGGATACAGTAATAGGTTTATGGTAGAAGGACACAGCAATTATATACATGTACCAATAAATAAGGATTAAAGTTTTGCAGACAATAAGTTTTGTAAATGAGTAAAGCCATCAGGTTATAATAACTGAGGAGAGCAGTGTAGAAGAAAGATGTAGAGCCTGATCATTCAATGTGAGGGAAACAGAACAACAGCTCTGCTGTGGAAGTTGACAGCCCCGGAGTTCAGCACAAGGTGATAGCAGCTAGAGGCCCATGAGCAGGAGGTGGTCAGATCATTCAGCTGAATTTAGGAAACCTCTTCAAGGTCCCCTGGACATGCTCTTGAATTGATATGTATTCTTGCTTTGCAGACACCCTGATTTTGTTTTAAAAAAGTTCATTCTACTGTATGAGGCATTATCTCAACTAAGTTTCTCAGTTTCCATGTTCTATTTCATTTATTTATCTTTGCATGGCTCAGAATGTAGTATTAAATAAAAGTGATATTTGAATAAATATGTCCCATGTGTTCATCTGGCTTGACTATTCAAAATGATATCACAGATTCAGTTTTTTCATATGCAACAATAAAATAAATTCAGATCAACATTATCATGCAGTTATTTGTTTAAAAATTACTGAGTTAAAAATAATTGAGTTGTTATTATGGTTTTCATCTAAAATGACTCCTAATTTCTCATGTTTGGAGCTGGGGCATGGCAAGTCACTGGGGTTGTGACTTGAAAGGGTGCATTCTAATCTCTGCCTCCTTTTCCTCTCTTTGCTTCATGGCTTTTATTATTTGAGCACCTTTATTCTGCCCTACCAAACTGACATCCTGTTCTTGGCTGGGAGTCGGTAGAGTGTGGACTGAAATCATGAGTCTAAATAAACCTCAGCTCTTTTGATGTGTGGTTGTTGGGTATATTATCCCATGACAAGAAAGTAATAAGCAAATACTAGTATCAGAGTAGAGGGACCATTGCTGTGACTGTATCTGACCATGTGATACAGAAGCCTAGAGTCCTAGTTCTCAAGGGGAATTTGGAAAGTTTTAGAGATGCCTTGTAGACCTAGCATGTTGTAAGCTGAATTTGATGGGAGATTCTCATCAGATATTTGAAGGCCAGTATTCTACTAGAAAAGCACACAGTTTCAGGAGGCCAGGCTAAGGAGGTTTCAGTTAGGAACAAGGAATCCATTGACAGCTGGACTCCAGGTCATGTGTTATGGTCTGGCAGAAAAATTGGCTACATTTTGCTCATGTCTGGAGACATAGTTGGAGATGGAGATTAATTTGCAGTAGACTAATTAATCTAACAAAAGAAATGTTGAGTTGGCCCACCATTCAGGCTGTGGCGTGGGTACTGCTGGGTGCTTGTAGCTAAATCTCCAGTGAAAATAAGGAGTAAATGGCAGAACTACACTGTTTGAATCATTTTCTGTTTTGCTCAAAAGGAAGTTCCTGAAAAGTTGGGGCAAAGAAAACCATTGATGTTGAAAAAATATCTGCATTAAAAAGAAGCCAAGTAGTTTGCACCAGGACTTCAGGAAAGATGGTTTAGAGGCATCCTAGGAATCAGAAAAACCCCATCTTTCAGATTAAAAGTGTGAAACTGTAACATTTCATTAATGAAGTGTATCCCCTGGCCTTCTGCTTGGGAAGGGCACCTAGGGAATTGGTTCTCTGCATTCTTTTCACAGTGCTTATATGCTGAGACACTCAAAGGCTGCATGCATGGTCCAAGGTGGGCTGGTTACTGCCATAACTGATAGCAGACCTTGGCATCATTGATGTGTTGCTGGTTATATAGGTATCCAAATGCAAGAGTTATGGGGTCATGGAGGTTTCTGCACAGATTTCAGAAGAAGGCCTGGGAGGCCAGGCAGTGTGCACGCACCCTCAGAGGGCAGTGTGTGAAGCTATAAGACTGAAAGCAATAGTGCAGTGAAGAGCCCAGGAAATTTGAGACCTCAGAAATGAGTAAGATCTGCTGAGGAAAGCCATGGGTGTGTACTGAGGCACCTGTATGCTACAACTGGCAATAACAGAAAGTCAGGGCTGCCCAAGTTCTCTGGAGCTTATGTCACAACACAGCTTGGCCCAGATGCTGGACATAGAACTTCAGGATTTAAGGTGTTCTCTCCTTGGGTTTAGTCTTACTTTGGCGTGTTTCTTTATTCCTTCCTTTTGGAATGGGAATGTTTATCATGTACACTATATATCACCAGCATTTAACTATTTTGTGTTATACAGGTTCATAACTAAGCATTTACTTTGAGTAGCAGAGGAGAGTTTGGAGTTGGACTTTGCTGGAACTGTTAAGACTTTTCAACTCTTAGAGATGGGCTAAATTCATTGTTTATA